GATGTTGGCTGTGGGTTTGTTATATATGGCTTTAATTATGTTGAGGTATGTTCCCTCCAGTCCAATTCTCTCTAGGACTTTAAACATAAAAGCATGTTGAATTTTGTCAAAGGCCTTCCCTGCATCTATTGAGATGACCATGTGGTTCTTGTCGTTGAGCCCATTTATGTGATTTATGATGTTTATTGATTTACGTATATTGAGCCATCCCTGCATCTCTGGAGCAGAGAACAGTGGCGGAGATGGAAGGGTGAATGAGGCCGGGGGAGTCAATGCCCGGAGGGCTCCGCGCTCAATTTAGAATTTTTAATCACTCAATTCTTTAAAAATTTTTTTTATTGAACTTTTTAAATTTCATACAACAGTTCTTAATCAAATTTAGATCCTCTCCCCTCTATCCACCCTTCCCATCCCCCTACCAAACCTCATGTATTCTGCCATACATCTTAAGTCCTATCCAGTCAAACATTTGTACCCAGATGTCCTTCAGTGTAAATTTGTCCATGACTCTAGTCAGCCCATCTAAATATCGTATGTAAGGCATACTCTCCCTCACCCAGTAGCAATCAGTCTCCAATAGTTCTCAGTCTAGGACCGGCCCACCACCCATTTCTCTCCTCCTTTCTGGGCTCTTGTTTAATTGAGTTGACATGAGTCCTGTGCTTGATGCCACCATTACCACAAGTTCACATTTGCAGACTTCTAGTGGCTGAAAACCTCTGCTTCTCTGTGTTCATGGCCCCTGAGCTATGGGTAGATGAGGTTCAATATAGGGAGTCCTATCCAAGGATACACACACTGCAGTCTCTTACTCTTTAAAACTTGGTCAGTTGTGGCCTTCTGTGTGCATTGCACTCTGTTCTATAAAGAAGCTTTACTGGTGAGAGTTGAGGGATGCATTAGGTTTCTCTCTACCCCTTGTTCTGCTACGTTCCACATGCCTTACGTTCAACTCCAGATGTGTCACCTAATACTGGGCACCTCTCAGACTTTTTTTTCTGTGTCTGATCAATTGTGGAATTCTGCAATAACCTCCATCTGATGCAAAAATAAGTTTCTTTGATGAGTGGTATATGGTATACTTGTCTGTAAATACAAGGATCCATATTTAGCATATGGTAAGAAATTTTATTTGTCTAGAGATATGACAGAGATAGGGTTTTCTCTAGGCTCTATATCATCTCCTGCCATGTGTATTTGGCTGAGTTTACAGTGCCATCCATGAATTCCCTCCCATTGAGAGGGCTTTAAGCCCAATTAGATAGCTGTTGATTGCCCCCCAGATAACAGTGCCACTCCTGCACCAATAGAGGTAGTTTGCCATGCCAGCCATTATGGATATTAGGCTTTAGGGCTCGGTTGGACCATTGGTTGTTTTTCTCCCTCAGCAGTTTGCATATTATCATATATCATTATGAGAGCTAAACTTCAGGTAGAAGGCTTCCAGGTCAGTTCCTGCTCCATTGTTCCAAGTCCTGTATCTGAACTACGTCCTGTCTTCAGCAGTAGGGTCTTATCTACTAGTTCTTGGAGATAACCAAGAGGTTTGGCAATAGCCTGTGTTATTTTGGGAGTCTCCTGGACCATTCTCACCAACCACTCAGAGGGAGGTCTCTTCTGTCTGACACTATGTTCCTTGCCAAGCAGCTCCCAGGTATACATATGAACTAATGTTTAGACACTCTATGTGCATTTCTCATGGGGTTTTGGGGCATCACATTTCCCTCTAGATTTCCTAGCCCCCCAAGATTCATTCATCTCCACTCTTTTTCCTCCCATCCAGCCTCCCTTCTCCCTTTCCAGTCCCAACGCCTCCATTATCACCACCCTCCCCGCAATAACACCCACCTCTCACCATTCCCCCTCTCCTGGCTCCCCCCCCACTGTGGCCCCTTGCATGTCCCTCCTTCCTCTCTTCCCTGCTGAACACTCCCACTTGTCCCTGCTCCCCTCGTAACATCTGTCCCCTACTATCCCCCTCTTTCGGGGGGTGCATATGTATGTGCAGGTGTGTGTGGAGACCAGAGAATAATCTTGGCTGTTGTTCCTCACCTTCTTTACTTTGAAACAGGGTCTCCCACTGCCCTGTTATCAAGTAGGCTGCACTGGCTAGCCAGATGTCCACCTGTCCATGTCCTCCTTCCAAGTGCTTGGAGCCCAGCTTTTATATGTGGGTTCTGGGGGATCACACTCCTGTGCTCATACTTGCAAAGCAAGTACTTTGCCTACTGAGCAATCAGCCTAGCTCTTTTTCTTTTAATAAGAACATTAAGACCTGTATTAAGTTGGGATATTTTATTTGCATCCTTCCAAGCTATCTGGAGTCACCTAAATGTTTCCTTTTCTTCATCTAGATTGACTGATGAGCTACATGAGGTTTCTCCAAGCAAGAACAGTGTTGTTGGTCAGGATCTGAGTGTTGGGGAAGGCTCAGCTTTTGTGTTGGAGGACCATGGAGGTGACCATTTGGTTTACATTCCAAGCCAAATGTTAGAGTCACGTAAATTATTGAGTCACTATGAAAAGGATCAAGGATCTGCAGTAATGGCAAGTCTCACTTCTGGTAAGAACATGAAAAATGATAGAACATTTAAAGTAGCCTGAACCCAAGCCTCTTAATACTAGTAGGGGAACCAAATAAATTAAGGTGGGTGTCTACAGCAACCTTGTGCTTCAATTCAGGATGGTGGGTTCAATTACATTTATGCAATGGAAGGAGCAGCAGATGACAGGTGTCATGGGGGGCGGTTACTGACATAAGCTCTGAAATGTCCCTGACATTCTTAAATGCATTCAACATAGCTTTAGAATATGTAGTTTAGAAGATTGGTGTAATATAGGAGGAGGCAGCATAGAGAGTGTCAGAGCAAATGACAGATTAAAATGGCCTGTAAAACTTGGCCTGACCACTGATCCTCAATTGGTGATTACATGAGAGAGTCTGTTTTAGTTTTGAGAGACCCAGAAATGAGACAGTATAAAACTTCCCATGACTTATCTTAATGTCAGGATTTAATAGTTTAAAACAAATTTGATATATAAGGTACTATTTGTATTTTTATTAAAAATGTGAAATTTAGGGCTGGAGATATGGCTCTGAGGTTAAGAGCACTGGCTGCTCTTGTAGAAGTCCCAGGTTTCATTCCCAGCACCCACATGGTGGCTAAAACTGTCTGTAACTCCAGTTCCAGGGAATCTGACATCCTCTTTTAACTTCTGGGCATTGCATGACATGGGTACACTTACATACATGCAGACAATACACTCATACACATAAAATAAATAAAAGTAAAAATAAATAGAATATTTTTAAATCATTATTTTTAAAAAATTTTAATAACTACATGATTAGAAGAAGCATTTCATTACAGCTTTAACACATTCAGTAACACACTCCAGAGCAAGAGTACATCTCTTTCACAAGTGGCTGTAAATTTCTAGGTTCACAGTTGAATTAATACAGTTATACAATTTTGAACTCATATAAGCCCTGTAAGACATAAAATTAAATGAATTCTCAACCTTTAAAAAAGATCTCCATTTCACTTTAGAATATATTGTTCCTTACAGAAAGACTCATTGTTTTTGCTACTAACACGGAGATGTTGGCGCATGCATCTCCAATCCGTATCTATCTATAACTAGTCCTAATCGGTTGCACTTGGATTCTTGGTGCCTGTGTATGTCTATAAAGTCATCGGGTAGATTTCAATGGTAATGTTCATTACCTCTACTAATTAGCATGACACAAATTTCCATGCTTCCTCCTCAATATATTTAACTTTGTTGATTTTTTTTGTGTGTACGTATATCACACAGAACATCCAAAACCATCTTATTCAACTATACACCCATTTTCCAGATAGCACCCTCCCATAGCCTCCCTCCCCCGACTAGAGCCCTTATACTCTGATATCCCTGCTACTGTCTGCTGTGTTGTCAGCACCCCCAGCCATTCCTCACTACTTGTCCATCTGGTTAATCTAGTCAGCCTATCTAGAGGGCTTTGTTTTAGGAGGGTCAGCTGTTTCTCATCAAGCAGCAATCAGTTGTCAACATTCCTTTAGGTAAGAAGGAATCTGCTGTTCATTTTCCCAGTTCTATGCTGGGCTACTATCTGGGAGTCCCTTTGGCAACCTGGCCAACAACTCAAAAGAAGGTATCTCCTATCTGGCACTGTTGCTTGTTATGCATGTAGCCTTTAGGTATGCATATGGACTCTTAAAAATTATATTTGCCTATTTAATCTTTGGTTATGCTTTCCTTTTGGGTATTTAAGGCCATAGAGTTTGTCCAGATAAACCAATTTATTTTTACTCTTAAGGTCGCCTGAGGATCTGTTCCTCAGGGGTCACATGGGCTTGGCAGGAGCCCCTGGCTCCTTTATTTTACCAGTTCCACCTATGTGAAGGTAAGTCAAAGGTACTACTTGACCATGGTTGGCTTCGCTTGGAAGCATGGAGGAAATGATTCCTCTGTATTGACCCTCCACTTTGTAGACGACACTGGTTCAAGTCCATCTGGTGGGGTCTCCTTGGCCTCCTTGATCAAGAGGACAGGTGACCCAGCACAATTATAGGACATTTTGAGAGATGCTCATAGTCCCCTGGAACTAGTCGACCTAGGAGGGCAAGGAGCAAAAACTGTCCTTTATGTCCCTCTGACCAAACTATTATAGGCCCCAATGTATGTCTGTTAAACATCCAAGGTTAGTTCCACCAGTCTGGTACTTTTAATTACTATGTGTCATGTGGCTAAATCTTGGGCAAAGACCAATTGTTCTCAGATAAACCTTACCTAGACATATATTTCTTGATCTGGTATGTATAATTTGTCATTAGGTTGTTGGAGTAATATGGTTCCCTCTGGTTTTTAAATTAGCTAGGCATTATTTATCTCACATTGTCTGGCTCCTCCATCATGGTTTTCCCACTTAAGGTGCCCCCATTTTCCCCCTTTCTCCCTTAATAATACCCTTCTCCTATGGTCCTACCTCTCTTGAGCTCCTTCTTTCCCTTTATCCCCTAGGTTTCTTGTATACCCTTCCCTCCCCCCTCCCTTAAACTAACCCCATTTTTATCCATATCTCCTTTATTAAGGCCTGTTTCCTACTGTTCTTCTCTTTCAGGTTATTTCTTTTCCTTTACCTCCCTGGTTCCTTTCCATTATCCTGGTTCCTGTAGTTATGTCTGGTTACATACTCACTTATCAGGGTTTGGTTCTAGGATCCACATATGAGGGAGAACATATGTCGATTTTTTTTTCTGAGTTTGTGTTACTTCACTTAATATAACAGTGTGTAGTTTCATCCATTTACCTGCAAATTTCATGATTTCATCTTTCTTTACTGCTGGGTAAAACTCCATCGTATTAATGAACCACATTTTCATTATCCACTCATCAGTTGAGGGACACTTAGGTTGCTTCCATCTCTTAGCTCTTGTGAAAAGAGCAGCAACAAACATGTATGTACAAGTGTCTCTGCAATAGGATGAGTTCTTTGGGTATATGCCAAGGAGTGGTATAATTGGGTCAAATGGTAGGTTCATTTGTAGTTTTTT